GTTTAGCTTTAAAGATCAAACAGTATAGAATATTTAATTTATTTGATGAGCAAATTAGATGTGCAATTCAGTATTTTAGTTAGCACTTTTGAATATTTTGATAGAAAAAAGTGGATTTACAGTTTTGGGAATAAATACTACCCATTACAATATCATATATTGATAAAATTGAACTTAATGTCTATGTTTTTTGCTCGTTTTGTATTTTCACTATTGTTCATTATATATAATTCGGAGCGCTTTGGTTGTCGTTTTATTTATATTATTAATAGTTCCCTGATGCACATCGATGCCGAGGTATACTGTCTCTGCTGATGACATGTCCACTGTTTGTTGTTCCTTCGAACACCAGGAAATATGGTATACCGTATACACTTTTTTTACCAAAGTTAAAGTCAAAATAATCTTTATTCAAATAGACTTCTTAAAAGTACTCTTGAATTCCCTACCACTCGTTCAGGACGTCTTTTGGCTGATAAGCACGAGCAAGAAACTCACCAGCTCTATTAAGAGTAATGATATTTACAAAAACCATGTCATTACCAGATCAATACATTATAAACAGAGATAGAGAAAAAAAAAAAAAAATATGGTCTTATAATGATAACATAATCATTTAATAATAATGGAAACAAGATAATGAGTTTAGAATCACCTATCCAGTTGCTGAATCAGCTCAAGTCAAAGCGTTCTTATCTGTTATATAATCGGATACCTTATAATAAGTTTTTTTAATAGTAGATTTAAACTGCATGATATCTAATTGTTGTATTTTGCTTGGGACCTTGTTGTAAAAGCGCACACAAAGACTCTTGAATGAGTTATTAACTTTATGCAGTCTAGTGAGAGGCACCGTTAATTTATTTTTATTTCTTGTATTAAAAAGTACCGGTCTTGTCACTTCCCAAATCAGCATCAGAATATGCTTTAATGTTATTTTCTTCCTTTTTTTGTGTTAATTTACGTTTTCTCTTGTTCCTTTTAGATGTCTCAAAATATGTTTATAAGCCTCCGTGGTAGTTTTTGTTGATACATTCATATGTCTACTTAAGTAAGATGAAGCATAACATATATCTGGTTTTGTAATTGTCAAGTAAGTTAAACTTCCTATTAATTCTTTATTAATTATGTTACAGATATTTTTTCTTTTTCAGATACTTTGAAGCTGTTTTCCATCAGGGTTTTCATCGGTTTATAATCCTTCATGTTATATTTGTACGACTATAATGTTGTATCAGTAATTTTTTGTCTGTGAAATTGTTCAATTTTTATTCAATAAAACGAATTGTGATTATTGTCTGATTCACTTGTCGTGTGGTCGTTAGAGTCAATATTAGAAATACTATCGAATGTGATCCATTTTTTTAATTGATCAGCAGGATAAATAATTTTGTACTTTCTTTTTGCGTCCATATATGCTAGATATTACATACCGATCGTTTTCTAGTACAGAAGTAATTGGAATCCACTTCTTCCGTATCTGTTTAGCGGTACTTGTTACCATTTTTCCAAACACCACTTCGGGTAGTGAAACCCCAGTTGTTTTATTGTGAGTATTATTCAGGCTCCACTGTATGTTTCCGACATGTGTGTCCCATTCTCGTTCATCCTGACCGTGATTGGATGCCGCCAATTACTCTAAAACGGTTCGGTTATATCGTTCTATTTGCCCGTTGGTTCGCGCTGTCGCAACTGAATTTAAGACATGTTTTACACCAATAAATTGAATGTAACGTTTTTATTATCTTTGGTATTCCGATTATATGAAACAGATCTTTTAGAACTTTTTAGTTGTCTTACTTTTTACATCTCCTACTGGTTTCATAAATATGAACTTACTATACCCGTCAATAATTCCCAAAATATATTCGTTCCCATTCTTGCTCCTTATAAATGGACCTAAATAATACATGTGCAATGTATGGAGCGGTGTGTTGTCTTTAGGAATAGGATGCAAGTATCCGTTGCTTTTATTTGTAGATGCTTTGTTGTTAGGCAGAGTTGAAACATGACGAAACGTACTTTTTAATGAATTTGCTCATTTTTGGAAACCAAAAGTCTTGTTTATCAAGTTTTGTCTATAGAATAGTGGATTCGTCATGTCCCATCTGGCAAATGCACCACCTTGCTTCGTTCGGCACAACCCACTAATTGATCTCCTATCTTTTGATATATTTTATAGTTTTGTAAAACATAATTATCTACGATATCCTTAATTTCTGTTAGAGAATAGCTGGTTAAAGCTATTCTTTGTTCAGAATAGCTCTATCAGGGCCTATATTGTACACTAAAATTATATTCCTAGAGTAGCAACCACCATCTCGTAATGCGTGGTACTATGTGAGGGTAGTTCTAATAGCACAAAGAATGTAAAATGTCTAATTATATAAGATAGTTTACCTCGAAATGGATTTAAGAACAGATGGCCCTTTTAAAATAGATGATCATAATGGTTATGGTTTCCCATGGGATGGAAAAACAGAGGCCTGTTTGTTAACAAATTGATAAGTGAACTTAGTATTTCAAAAGGTTACGAAATGATAATAACAAACAATGGGAATATTAATAGTAAATAGTTATGAAACTATCGTAACTTCAAATATCAAGGGTTTAATAAAATAATGAGTAAAGTCACTAAATAAGTTCGGGAAGTCACCGAGTCATCGATAATGATGATGAATTTGTTTATTAAATTTCCTGACACAAGTATACACAGAGAAGTAATAAAAAATCAGTAACTAACTAATCTATTGTGTGTAGAATTAATAATTTTCTCTAAACAAAGACTAACAACTTTAATACTTGTTATACGTTTATTAAAATTAAGTTCTTATCATATGATAATAAAAATTGTTAGAGTATGATCGAATGGTACTATCCTTTTTATAAGTTAAATTAGTCATATTTTTACAATAAGCATTACACATAATATATAGGTTTCTCTGTATTTTCATATATTAACACTCAACAAAGAAAGGGAGCATCTATTTTATTCAAGAAAACATTTGTTATTAAATAAATGTACAAGTGGTAGGTATTAATTACTTTTGTAACAGCGATTGTTGAGGACGCGAATAAAAAAAATGATTGAACTTTTTCCAGGTATGCGATGTTATTGCCAAATGTGGGGGGGGGAGGCTAGTCACGATGCATTTATTTGGGAGAATAGTTAACAGTTTTATGCAAAATTTACACAGAAATAATGAACAAGCCTGGTTACTATGTAATTAAATGTATTTATTTATTGTTTCTTTAACAATATTTAAAGCACTGTATTTATGTTCTTATCTGCATACACTTGTTCTTTAAAACATTTATTAAAATAACTCAATAATAAGTGATTTTATATCACTACATATTCCATAATTATACTATATTTAGTCAGATAACAATAACTTTAAATTAAACAGGTGATTCTGGGTACCATCAACGCCCTTGGCTGATGACTCCCATCAGTAGTGCATTAGTTGGCAGTTCAGAAGCCAAATACAATTCTGTTCAATGAAGAGCCAGGGAATACTTTTAACTGTTAGGATTTATATAATCTGTGATCTATGTAACCGTGTAGGTTTTCTCTATAACTCTCTCTCTGCTCTGTGGTTTTGGTAACATGTACTCGGTATGTATTTTTAATTAATAAATGTTTACAAAAACAATCGTAGCTCTCAATTTCCTTTTCATTTAAGTTTTCATAGGTTATGGGCCCAGACGCCTAATAGTTTTCATAGTTAGGAAACAGTATAAGAAAGTTTGTGATAATACGTTTTCCGAGCGCGTCGTTCATGACAAAAAATGGCGACCACGTCTGTTAATACGGTTAATATTCCGCAACTAAAAGCCGAGTTATTCGGCAATTGGTACTTCAGACTGAAAAGTTTATTGGAGGAAAGGGGATTAAAAGAAATAACCGAAGAGCAGAAAGTAGATGAAAGCAATAAAGTTCTTGATGCGAAAACCAGAAGTTTGATTGTGCAATGCTTGACTGACCGACATTTAAAGTAAATATAAATAATGTCATGAGTGCTGATTCATCATATAAGGCAGAAAATATAAACCTATGGCATCAAAGGTTTGGCCATATGTGCAAAAAGAAATTAGCAATATTGGGATTGCCATTCAGTACTGAAGCGTGCGAGCCATGTATGAAAAATAAAGCAACAAGATTGCCATTTAAGAGAATTCAAAGTCCAAGGTCTAATAAAGTAGGTGATTTAATACATACAGATATATCAGGACCAACTAATGTGTCAACTAAAGTAGGACACAGGTATATTCATACAATAATTGATGATTATAGCCATTTTACATGTACATATTTATTGAAAAACAAGTTTGAAGCAACAGAAAACCTAATATCACATATAAAAGAAATGGAAAGACAAAAGGATGTTAAAGTAAGAAGAATTCGATGTGATAATGGTGTTGAATTTACAGCAAGAAAATTAAAAGAATATTTTACACATAATGGAATAAGGATTCAATATACTCAAAAGTATAGCCCACAACAAAATGGCAAAGCCGAGAGAATGAACAGGACAATTTTTGACAAAGCAAGAACAATGTTAGATGAGTCAAATCTACCAAAGTATCTTTGGGGACAAGCAGTATTGACTGCAACATACTTGATCAATCGATCACCTTGTTCTTCAATACAAGATAAAATACCGGCAAAATTATTTAATAAAGAAATGGATTTACATAAGATGAAGATATTTGGAAGTAAAGCTTAGGTACACATAATGCCCAAACAAGGAAAACTGTCAAGTAGAGCTACTCTCCAGTAAGATTTGTAGGTTATGCCATGAACGGTTATAAGTTATGGGATCTGTTACGGGGGCGGTCAGGAATGGCTTTTTAAAAAAAACTTATTTTAATTAACACTTAGTTATTTGTATATGAAGAACACGATTTATTACACTATTTATTATTATATAAGATCAATATGTTGTCCGACGGGAGTCCAATCCAAAACTGATTTTATTAAATATCATTATTACGTTCAAGACTCGGTTTCCTATTGCATGACGACAATGCGATAGGAAACGTCTATGTTGCGTTTTTCATTTTAATAAGAACTAATAGAAATTATATTATAACAACCCCCCCGTTAAGATCGATCATCACCATTTAAAGTGATGAGAGATTTAAATAAGATAAAACTGACCGGAAGGATTGATTGGATTCTCGTTTGACCTCAACTGAAATATAATAACGACCAAAGATAAAAATAAAAAAGATTAATCTTAAATATAAAATTGACAATCAAAATAATAAAACATCTACATACGTTATCTTGTCTTAATTAAAAATTCATCATGGGTATTTACTACAATATTTAAATCTATATTTTAAGTGTTTTAACATTTATTAATATAATAAAACTGCCCATAGAACATATTTATTAATTAGAATAGTAAATTAATATTACAATTAGAATAGTATTAAAATATAGAAAATTGAATCACGAATCATGAGATTTACTAATCATAATATTTCGTTTCAAAGGAGTGGGCAAATCATTTGTCTCAATCTCAGAATTGTAGTCTTGAGGTTCATCTTCAGTTTGACAGATGACCATTTTAGGATTAGCATTTCTTATATTTTTCGTATTATTACATTGATTATAAATTTGAATACAGCAAGATGCTGGTTTCTTACAAAAAACATTTCTATATTTATATAAAAGATACAGTATCACTAAGATGCTAGTTATGTAGCTCAGAGATAAGTAATGCATTCCATAAGTTTCAAAATGAGATGGATTCTCTAATTTATTTAATTCTTTTTCGAAGGAATTTAAGTGTTTACTAGCATGAAGTAAGGAATCGAAGTTATCGATATTATTAAGTTTACTATAAGGTAATTTATCTAATGTTTTATTAACTTTAGACCGTTCACAGCAGTCATCTAATAATATATTAAAATTTGATATTTTATTACTAATATTACCCATAAAAGTTTCACCGACGGCAGTGAATTGTAGGGTTTTATAGAATGCCTTACAATTTTTCGGCAATGTCAAGATGCCAGTACCAAATAATATTATATCTGTATTATCTATATTGTTATTACATGTGATATGACATTTACCTGGCTCTGATTGTACGAATATCCATCTGTTAAAACTTATCTTATGAAATACATCTATAGAACCACGAATTAAATGTATTTGACAAAAGTCAGGAAGCTTATTTACTACGTCACTCAATAGAGTCGTTTCACACGTTGGATTCGCGATAACCGAGTACACATTCACTAAAACACATATATAGCACTTTTCACTTATGACCTTGCACTGGTTCAAGTCTTGAATGGGTGAGTAAAACATACGATCAGCTGTTATCGCTAAATATGAACTTGACGGAGAGATGAGCGCATAAGTATCTGGCTTCGTTATATCATACGGTACAGGTAAGGGAATTATATTATATAAATTATATACTTGTGGTATAACTAATGGTATCTTAACTACGATAATAATTTTATTTAAATGATAAAAGCATGCAAGTTTAGAAATATCAATGAGTTCATGAATATTATGTAATGTTAACGACACAGGGAGCTCATAATGGCTAGGCAGATTATTTCTATGTTTATCTAACTCGTTATACAACTGATGTGGACTAAGTACAGTCGGATGCAAAACGTTTAGTTTCGCAAATAAAATACTATTATTAATATCATCAATATCAAAAGATAACGTTAAAATTATTGATTCTAATGAATTTAATAAAGAACTCATTTGAGTTTTTATTTCTAATTTATCATTTGAATTAGATAAATTATCTAAGATTTTGTGGATCGTTTCCATATTTTTCATGAGATGTTTCTCATTTTCGTCCACTTTAGATATAGAATTATTGAAAGAAGTAATAGTAGATTTAATTACATGAATGTTATCTTTCATTAGATGAGCGAGATGTTTTTCATCCGTCTGAACATCTTCAATGGCTTTAGAAAACTTGACTGCGTCTTCAGAATCAAGCGTACCAAAAATAGTTTTTAACAAAGAACCACCTAAGTCGATGAGGCCTCTTTTAAAACGTTTATTAGGTCTTTCATCGACTAACAAATACGATATAGAAGAGTATTTATTGATATTCATCATATGTTGATTTCGCAGCGCGGATAGCGAATTAAGACAATCGGACTGTATCTTAGAAGATGAGAACGAACTACAAAATACATTTAATTTTTCAAATAAAAATTCTACTTTATCTAAATTAGGCTGTATATGACTTATATCTACGTAGGCTATAATATTCCAATAATTATTGGAGAATTTAACATCTAAGAGCTTATCAAAATAAAGACCAGGACTGCTTACGATATTTGATACGTATTCGCACTCGGTCGACGGCAACGCCGATCTGAAATATAATATAAACAAACGCTTACATAGAAGTAGTAATGACGTAGAGACTTAAGTAGACATCGCGTCATGAGCGAGTTTGATTTCGTCATAATGATGACGTACGTGTTTACGATTTATGAGTAACGTCACCGTATGATTGCCATTTAGTTTAATTATTTGAAATGGTCCTTTCCACACAGGGGATAAGGCCTTATTTTGCTTGTGATGGCAACGGACATATACCATATCACCCGCTTTATAAGAAATAGGCTTGGAATGCGAATCATAATATGTCTTAGATTTTTCTTTAGATGATAAAATATTTTGAAGAGCCTTCTGACGACTGTAATAAAGTCTATGGTTAAGGGCTCGAATATAATCAGTATAAGTGTTATTGTCGAGAGTATCGATGCTTGAAGGTAAGTAAGGTTTATAGCCAAATAATAATTCTAAGGGTGAATAACCCGTTGTACTATGCACATTGGAGTTGTATGCAATCATTGCGCTAGGTAAGTATAGATCCCAAGTATGTTGATTTTCTCCGATAATGATCTGATATATTCTTTAAGAGTGGAATGGCTCCTCTCGAGAGCTCCACATGTTTGGGGATGATAAGGAGATGCAAATATATGTTTAATACTAAATAATTTTTCAAGTTGTTTGAATACGTCAGAGCAAAAATTTGTGCCTTGATCTGAAATAATCATTTTAGGTATACCCATATGGGAGATATATAAGACTAATGATTTGGCCGTTTCTTCGGCGGAACAGGATTGCATTGGATACGCTTGTGAAAATTTGGTAAGATCGTCTTGCAAGGTAAGTATAAACTTATATTTATATTCATGTGTTTCGGGAAGCGGACCAACAAGATCTAAGAAGATTTTTTCATTAGGTCGAGATGCTGTGGAGGTGATTATCATAGGAGCTCGATTGGTTTGTCGTAAGGGCTTATTAATTTGGCAAGATCGACAATTTTTTACATAATCTTCAATATCTTGGCGCATATTCTTCCACCAAAATTGGGATTTGATTCTTTCAATCATACGCGAGATACCGGGATGACCAGCGAGAGGTGAGTCATGATTATCTTTAAGAATACGTTTTATCTCATCTGGTGTTGGATATTGGATGCAGTTATGGTAAATATTCACCTTGATGTTACTATTGTGAAATAGGAATGCGATTATGTTATATATTTTTGTAAACGATAATTTAGTAAAAGGATCTGTAAAATCTGATAAGGCGATTTCTTTCTCCTCCAGGTACCAATATTTTACCATGTCGCGATAATCTCGGAGGAGGTTAAATATGTCTCTATAAGTCATCTCATCGAAGTGATTGACCTTTAAAAATAAATGTGTATAGACATGCTTATCGTTAGATGTAGAATAGTAAGTATTAAGTTCGCGTTCTACGTCACGAATGTTTGGTTCGCTTGTTGAAGCGTTTATGACGTCATGACAATACGGCACGGACTCGTCTAAATCAATCGACGTAGGATATGCAATTAATTTTATTTTTGTTTTCAATAAAGACTCATTGTGCTCTTGTATAATGGTGTCGAATGAGACACTAGGTTGTTTAATAATTTGTAGAAACTGTTCATAGGTTTCAGATATAGAAGGCAGACTATTAGACTCGATATCGTTGTCAGGAGATAGTGAAGGATTATTTAACATTGAATTTGCATTATCATTACTATCAAGAACATTAACAGGGAAACGAGATAATGCATCAGCGTTCGCGTTGAGTTTACCCTTTTTATATACAATTTCATAATCATATTCTTCGAGCCTCAGGCGCCACCTGATTAACCTGGAGCCGGGATCTTTGACATTGAACAGCCACACGAGCGGTTTGTGGTCTGTTATGATTTTAAATTTGCGTCCGTATAGGTAAGGACGGAAAGTTTTGACACCAAATAAAATAGCTAAAAGCTCTTTTTCTATAGTCGAGTAATTGCCTTCGGCTTTATTTAAAGTTCGGGATGCGTATGAGACTGGCTTATCTTTTCCGATTTCACCTTGAGATAAAATAGCGCCTACTGCGTAGTTTGACGCGTCAGTAGTTAAGAGAAAGGGTTGATTGAAATCGGGATACTGAAGTAAGGGAGCTGAAGTTAATTTTTCTTTAAGGGTTGTAAAAGCTAGTTCTTGATCATGTGACCATTGAAATTTGGCATCCTTTTTAAGAAGAGAGGTCAATGGCTTAGTAATTTGTGAAAAGTTATTTATAAAACGACGATAATAGCCGATTAGACCCAAAAAGGATTTAATATCCTTTGGATTTTTTGGAGTAGGATATTGAGATACAGCCTTAATTTTCTCGGGGTTAGGACAGACACCTTTGTCTGTTATTATGTGACCTAGATAAGCGACTTCGCGCCTTAAGAACTCACATTTATCGGGCTGTAACTTTAAATTAAATTTTCGTAAGCGATCAAATATAAGTTTGAGTTTAACAATGTGAGATGATAAATTGGTTGAGTAACAGATAACATCGTCAAGATACACGTATGCGTGAAGACCTTGGAGACCAGAAAGGACTGTGTTCATCAGCCTTTGGAACGTGGAAGGGGCGTTTTTCAACCCAAAGGGCATTCTGGTGAATTCGTAGTGCCCAGAACTAGAAGAATTAGTGTTAACCGTAAAACCCGTTTTTTGTGCATCTTTGGGATTCATTTTAGTCTGATGGAAGCCACTGGAGAGATCTAGGGTACTGAAATATTTTGAATGGCCTAACTGATCTAAGATGTCAGTAATGAGAGGCAAAGGATAACTTTCTGAGACAGTAACATCATTGAGGCGGCGGTAATCGATAACGATTCGCCACTTCTTTTTACCTGAAGCGTCCATTTTCTTTGGGACTACCCATACTGGGGCGCTCCATGGCGAAACAGAGGGACGTATAATATTTTGATCGAGCATTTTGCGTATTTGCGAATCGACCTCTTCCTTGTGGCATTCAGGAAACCGATAGGATTTGACGTGAATGGGAGGTGCATCTCCCGTATCTATAGTGTGCTCAATTGCATTTGTAAAGGTAAGGGGTTCGTCTTCCAAATGAAAAATATAGGTGTAATGTGAGCAGCATTCTAAAAGGGACTTTTTTTCTTCAGAGTTTAAATGAGAACAGCGAATAAGATTTAGTACCTTTTGTACTCGATTCGGATTAGAATGCGAAATAGAATTAACTAATTGAGATGATACATTGATTGTTTTGTTAGACTCAATAGGCGTTAATTTGACACAGTAATTTTTTATAACAATATCAGAGTTTGTAGTGTTTAAAATCGTTACATTTATTCTCTTATTAGGTTTTATAGTGACAATACTATTAGCTAAATATACACCGTCACAGAAGGTGTGATCTAATAGTAATCCTTCATTGTTTGGATAATGCTCGGACGAGAAATTTGATACGGCGCACTCGATAACTGCTTCGGCGCGTGCAGGAATGATATAAGTCGGCTGGACATAGTTAATGTCCAGGCTTTGCCCGCAAATACTTATTAAATTTGAATTATAATTTATATTAGCTTGAAAATAACCTAGAAAGTCGCTACCAATGATACCGTCATATTCTAAATTAACATCATCGTTAATTATGTGAAATTTGTAATTATGAGTAGTATCATTAGATAAATAAAAATCGATCTGAGCTGTTCCTAATGTTTCAGAGCAAACTTCCGTATTGTTTATACCCTTTATCTTAGATCTTTCGCGAGATAGTTCGGGAGTTTTATTTAAACTAGATTGTTTGACGAGGCTTATACTTGCACCCGTATCTATAAGGAATTGTAAAGGCTTAATAGCAAAGTTAGTTTTTAGAAAGATATGTGGCAAAGATATTTTCTTAGAAGACGATTTTATCTCGTAAATAGGGATATTATCGTTTATATCAATTTTATTCTCAGAGGGAGGCGATAAAGATTTCGCTTGAATTATTATAGACACTGACGATTTAGGAAGACTCAACGAAATAGGAACTCGCTGTGGAGCATGTTGAGGTTTATTTTTTATAAGACTCGACGAAACAGAGGGTCCTAAAGGACAGTGACGAGATGCATTTTTATTATTATGACTCAACGATTCAGAGACTTTCTTAGGAGCGTGTTGAGATGAAATTGAAACTAAGTTATTTCTACTTTGCGTAGGACTCGGCATCTTTGACCGAGATGTAAAAGGACTCAGAGGCTGTGGCTGCTGAGATGTATTATTAAAATTAGAGTTAGTAAAAATATACGTGCCTAGATTACGCGGAAAACGACGGCACCTATTCGTAATCCGACGATTTAGTTTAAATCGCTAAAAGACTCGTCGATATTTTCGCACGGAATATGAGACGGTGTCGCCTTTGAAGTCGACAACTGTGGCGACTCGTATGTAATATGATTTACGTTCGGCGACTTTGTATAATTGTTATGGAAATTATTTTGCGAATTACGACTTTCAATATAATATTTTCTTTTGCGACATTGCGAAATGTCATGACCTTTGTTTTTGCAATACCTGCAGAAAATGTGGGAATTAGATTGGTTACTAACAAAATTATTATAAGATGACTTTTGAAAATCAGAAAAAACACGAGGCGGACCCGTACGTTTTTGCTTATTATAACATTCGGATTCTGTGTGTCCTAATTTTCCACAGATTTTACATTTCGGTTTGGCCGTAGTTTTATATAAAAGATTCTGAATTTTTTCTTCTTCGAGAGCAATATTGACTGCGGCGTTTAGAGATTTCAGGTTTCTACACCTTACATTGTTGCTTATACGCGGATGTAGGCCTAACGAAAATGTAAATAACGCTAAATCT